GGCCTTGGAATCACAACCCTCAGCGGATTCACGTTCTCTTAAAAACTGATGTTGGTATGTGAGCAGGCAGGCTGCCGCCATGCTCAGACTGCATATGCTCCGCTCCCGCATGCAGAGACGTTATCTCAGAGATACGACCCAGCCAGTATACAATCCTCAGACCACATCCAGGCAGTTAAACGTTCACACAATCCAGGGAAAGAATGAACACAATGCTGGCATTCGTCTGGGCTCACGTGGGATAAGGGTGTGCTGAAAAGTCTCTGTCGTTAAGGAAAGCTTTATGGAAAGAAGTGAACTTCCTTCCAAGCCGGAAGCGCCTAGAACACCAACTAGTGTGCAGTGAGGGAGGGAGGGCAACCCTGGAGGGAGATGGAGGTTCAAAACAGTCTCTGCTCAAGGATGGAATGAATTTCAAGTCAGCCCTGGTGAGGTAGCCGGTTTTCTCCTGCCCTGTACCGAGTGGGGTCACAATCACTAAGGCCCAGTTTTCCTCTTCCCAGGTGCCGCCCCCTACCTGAAGACCAAGTTTATCTGTGTGACACCGTAAGTGGCTTCCCTTCCCAATTTTGCCTTCATTTCTAATGTCCTCAGTTACCCCTGGGAATGGGACACTGGGTGAGAGTTATCCTGCAAAGGGTTGGAAGGCCCTGGGCAATGTTTAGTACTCAAAGTGACCTTGTGTGTTTAAAAAGCTTGAGCTTTTACTTTTCTGTTGGAGACCAGAGTTTGATGGCTTGTGTGTGTGTGTTTTGTTCTTTTTTTTTTTTTTTTCCTCCATTGTGTCTTGTCAACCCGGCCCTTTCCCCACCCACTGCTCCCCATTTCCTACAGAACGACCTGCAGCAATACCATTGACCTGCCGATGTCCCCCCGCACTTTAGATTCATTGATGCAGTTTGGAAATAATGGTGAAGGTGCTGAACCCTCAGCAGGAGGGCAGTTTGGTGAGTATTCGGTTGGCAGACTTTGTCCCTGTGAGGGGAATCGGGCCTCCTTCTGTGATGTCCCGTGTGCAGAGCCAAGGGCTGGTACATATGGATTGTAGGAGGAGGGTCTAGAGCAGAACTCTCCAGTAGAAAGGGGATACACACCACGTGTGTGAGCGTACATTTTCCAGTAGCCACATTAAAAGCAGTAAAAAGAAACAGGTGAGGTTCATTTCAGGAATATATTTCATTTAACCCAATAAATCCAAATAGTATCATTTCAACATGTATGAGAAAAACAAATGAGGTATTTTTCATACTGAGTCTCTTGAAATCTAACCACAAGTGTTCAGTAGCCGCCTATGGCTGGCTCCAGGCTGCCACATTCAACAGGGCAGTCCTAGGTCTTCCATACACATGAAATAGTTAAGGTAGGAGGGGGACTGAGCCCTTCCTGAGGATAAGACCCTGTAGGGAGGAGAGTAAACCTGGGTGATCCAACCCTGTCTTGGCCGTGAGGGGCAGGGGACCGGATGGCGGCGGGGGCTAGGAGTGTGTGCCCTGCCAGTCCAAGTGCTCAGGCGACTGAACCAGCTCTCCCTGTCTGTCCTCCAGAGTCCCTCACATTCGACATGGAGCTGACCTCGGAGTGTGCTACCTCCCCCATGTGAGGCGCCGAGGACCGACGCTGCGGAGAGAGATGACAGAGGCACCTCCTTTGCTCCACCACCCCTAAGCAGCCAAACCCCAGAGCATCTGAACTCCTAACTTTGTGGTTCCAGATTTTTTTTAAATCTCCTACTTCTGTTATCTATCTATGAGCAATCTGGGCACTTTTTAAAATAGAGAAATGAATGAATGTGGGTGATAATGCTTTTATCTAAATGCAAATAAGAGCGTGTTCTCTGAGACTGTGATCAGGGGATGGGGAAGGGATGGCAAGAGGGAGGGAAAGGCAGGGTCTTGTCTTTTCTCGCTCCCTGCCCTCCTTTCTCAGCAGCTTGCTGTTGTTGTAAGACAAGTGCCTCCTGGTGCCAGTGGCATCCCTCTGCCCATTTCTGTAAGCTAACGTCACAGGCTGCCTCTAGCTACATACGTGTATCCCTGGCATTGCACTTTTAACCTTGCTAACGTCCAAATAGAAGATAGGACTTTCAAAGCCCCTAGGTTTCTTTTGAAATTTAAAAGAAAAAAAAAATTAAAGGGCAAAAAAACACTGTATCAGCATAGCCTTTTTTTTTGTATTTAAGAAAACTCAGTCAATAGCCTCTTTGGTGCTTTAGGCATTCAGCTTTCGTCAGGCTGATACTTTATATAAACCCTGAAATGGGCTTCAGATCCAACCCTTAAAAGACATCTGATGCTGTGGCTTGGCCTTTGGTTTTGAAATGGGAAGGTTGAAGGAGAAACTAAACATTCTAGCCTTTTTTTTATAAACAGAGTTTTTATTTTCCCCGGTAGGTGTTGGCCTATTAGTAGGTGAGGCTGGGCAGAGGCACGCTTATACCCTGTCCTCCCTTTCCCCCTGGACTTGCGCTCTTGTTTCAGAGCCCAGGTGTTACTGTGGGTGCCTTATAAGGGATGGGATGGTTCTCCTGCCTTCCCCCAGTCCACCTGACCTCCCCCTGTGGCGTGGCTCCTTCCAGTGTCCAAAGGTCCCTTGTCCTGTTTGCTTTCGGAGCCCTGGTCTCAGGACCTCCTGGAATCAGAGGGAGACAGTTACAGGCTGAACATGACTCAGATTATGGGGCCCCCGCCAAGGGTCTGATTGAGCTCAGGGAATGTGGTGGTTCTTATCCCAGTTTCTCGGTGACTTCCCACAGCACCTGTAATCATTTCTTCACTTGGTGAACTCAGGGGCAAAGGCTTATTGATAAACTCAGTCTGTCCCTCATGTGAGGGAGTGTGCGCCCAGCCTCCCCCCAGCACTGGTGACTGTCTCCTGCCCGTTGGGGCCCCACAGATGAGGCAGAACAGGTTGAATTAACAGTGTACTTCGAAACACTTAGGAGCATGAGAGGTGATCTGATGTTGGGGCCTCCTCTGGTTCAGAGGCCTGGCTATCATGGGTGCTCCCAAACCACCTCGTCTCCGTGGATCAGAGTTTCTGTGGAATGAGTTTGTTATACCCAAATGAGCCAGTTTCTGAATTAGGGGATGAGGACCTTCTCTCCAAGACATAAGGCCATCCCTTGGCCATCCCTGTGCCCTGTCCTCCTGCCTAGAATCGGGGACAGGTAGTACAGGCTCCCTTCTCCAGCGACAATCTTTCGTTCATGATAAGCTTGACTCATAAACTGAGAGAAGATTTAGTTTGAGGGACCCAGGGCAAGGATCCGGAGCAGATGGATATTGCAACGTTCGGGGCTTTGAGGTAGCGCGTGTATCTGGGTTTAACTCTGATTGCCCCAAGAGGAGCTGAGACATGGTCCGGTTGCTCCCTTCAAGAACCGAGTCCTCCAGGACCGGCCCGCTTTCTCCCCACTGCCTGCCCCTGCTCAACCCCAGCCCAGCCGAGGGCTTTCCATCCATCATTAACCTACTTTTACAGTGGTTTGTAAGCTGCTGTCCTGGCCACTGCATCAAATTCCAATGTATACTTCATAGTGTAAAAATTTATATTATTGTGGGTTCCTTTTTTTTTTTTTTTTTGTATATTGCTGTATCTACTTAACTTCCAAAAATAAAAGTTATATAGGACCCATCTGATAGCGTGGCAGCTGTGTCTCTGGCCGGTGGAAGTTCCCCGTTCCCTGCTTCAGGTCTGAGGGGTCCTTACACACAGGCCCAGCCTGTCTGGAGAGGAGGTGGTGGCGCCCCGCTCATGTCCGCGTTGACACTGGCCCACTTCTGGGGCACTGAGCACCCCCCATATTATGTAGCCACCAGCCTCCAGGTCAGGGGACACTAGAGGAGCCAGGGGTCGTACTCCTCAGGCACAAAGGTGTCAGAGTGAAGGCCGCCCCTCTCCCTCTCCCTTCCTCTTCCTCCCTCCCTCCTCCTTCCAGGGGCCTTTGCAAGCTGGGCCTCCTGTCTGGGGTCAGATAAGCTACCTAAGGGGGTTGGGATGTTGATACTCCCACCCCACCCCCAAGGCCTCCCCTTCCACAGTTGTTCCATTATCACCTTGGTGGGGACCAACTAAACACCTAACTGGCCGCTGCTCCGAGCCGGCAGTCAGTGGTGATAATTCACAGACATCAGCTCCCACTCAGCTGTCTCCCACCTCCCCCCCCTTGTGCGGAGTACCACAGAGCCGAGTGCAGCGGGGTGTGAGATATGAGCCGCCTTCCCCTGCAGAGATGGAAGAGAGATTAGTGTGCTCAGGCGGCTGGCTGCCGCTTCCCTCCCCACCCACCCCCGCCACCCCAACTCTGGGCCCCTGCACCTCCTGGGCTGGGGCGGGCTGCGAGCCCCTCTCTTCCCTCGCTTTGAGCTCTGAAGAAACTTCGTCAGCAGGTCCTTGTTCTTCCATCCCCCACGGGCCCTTGGACTTGGCACCTAGCACCTAGGTATCAGGGGGGCGTCCAAATGGGGAGCCAGTCCTGCTCTCAGCCCAGCGTCTCCCCTAGTCTCAGGCCGAACTTTTGAAAACACAGTGGCAGTGGGATGGTGCCACCTGCTGGTCTCTGGGAAGAGGCCAGGGGAAGAGGGACTGTTGGGCTCTCCTATGACCCTGGCCCTGGGAGGGTTGAGTCATCTTGGCTCTGACCCTGAGCTGCCAGCTTCAAGATCGCGTATAGCGGCAGCTGATAAGAAGAGGCCAGACCACATTTCTTCCCATTCCTCGTGACCCCTTCCCTCCACTAATTCCTGCCCATCTTTTCCCAAGACCTCGAGTCTTAGCTCTTCAGTCTTCTGAGAAGTTCTGTCAGTGTTTGGGGCAGGGGTGGGGGAGGGGGGATCAGCACCCTTAAAACCATAGAAAAGGGAGCAGAATTGTAGCTTCAGGCTACACATTACAGCATCAGCCAGCAGGAGGGAAGGAACAAAACGCCTCCAGCTCCAGTGATCCCTGTTACCCAACCAGGAGTCACACCAGCAGTTTTATGGAAAAAAAAAAAAAAAAAGAAAAAAGAAAAATACATATTTTATTCAAAAACACTGTTTTCACAAATGTATGGCCTATGTACAAAGTACAAAAGACTCCCTCTTCTCATCCCCACCTGCCTTCAGAGAGGTTTGAACCTGGGGCTCCCAATCTCCCCACCGGCAGCTGCCCCTGGCTGAGTGCCAGGTAGCCTCTGAGGACGAAGTGAGTGAGGTTGGAAGCCAAGCCTTCTCACACCACAGCCAGTTGTGCAACTGTAATCAGGCCTCTTCCAGGTTCCCCCCTCCCAACAGCACGGAAGCAGAGATCAGCTTTCACCCCTCACTCCAGATTCCACAGGCAGGCAGCAAGCAGCTGACTTTCTGCTGTCGCTCGCTGCAGGTTTCCCCCCGCCCCCCAGGATTGGAGGGGGTCAACCCTGCAAGTCCTGGGTTCCCTGTTCACCCACCATGTCCTAGACCCATTTTCCCTTCTCCTACCTTTCCTATAAGCAAGAGAGGCAAGGAGAGAAGCCTGGGGCCGGATGGAGGGGAGGGGATACTGGGTGGGAAAAGATAGCAAGGGCATAGGCAATGGCATCACACTCCTGGCTGGAGGCCAAGAGGTCAAGAAATGACACACTCAGAGCAGCTTTGACAGGCCCAACTCAAATGACCCATTTCTGCTGTTAGGGACATGGCCACGGCCTAGATAAGCTGTCAGTTCACAAGAAGTCTGGAGTCCATATTCACTAGATAAAGTATAAAATATTACTCAGAATTGAACCCCAACCTCCCTCTTGAGGGAAGAATCAATAGACCAACACATGTGTACAGGAGCAGATGCACACACACACACACACACACACACACACACACACACACACACACACACGGGAGGCAAAGCCTCCTCTTAAATGGCTGCTGAGCAGACCAAGACCCGGTATATGGATTAGGTTTGCCTTCACCGAGTACCTGACATGACGGAAGCAGCTCAGTCTCGTCTACAACAGAGACAGGCCAGGGGACTCTTGGAACACCTTGATCTGAAGAAAAAGGCGGCTGCTGCAGCCCCAGCCACATGATGCAGGACTGCAAAGGCAAAGCAGGCACACCTCCTACACAAATACACACACGTATGCATGGGTACACGTATGCACGGGTACACGTGCTTCCTGCAAAGGCATCAATATGCACAGCAATAGTAAAATCACAATTAATATGAACCCTTCACATCGAGTATTGTTGCAAAAGACAAGTGTGGGATTCAAACATTCAGGAGAGCGAGCCTCTGGCAGAGGTGAAAAGATTGGCAGGTGGGGACAGGCGGGGGTCCAGACTGTCCATGGGGCGGCGTAGGAGTTCCTCCACGTGCCGGGCTACATCCATGGTCTCATCCAGGTCGAATTCTCCATCTTGGTCGAGGACAGGGTCAGGACTGGTAGAAAGAGGGGGATGTCAGAGGGAGCTGGCCTGCCTCACAGCCCCAGGTTCCCGGGGACAGCTCCTGGCCGCCTCCCCATTCATGCCAGTCTCATGGGGAACAGGACCAGCTCTGGCAAGACCCACACCCCCCAAGTTGGATCAGTCAGTCCCTGGCTTTTTGGGAGGCACCCCAGTCTCATCTCTTGCTACCTCACTGAGTGATCAGAAGGAATTCATTTTCCTCTCCCTGACTTCATCTGTAAAACGACATGGTTGGGCCAGTGAGCTCCGCCCACCTGCAACACTATTCTATTACATCCTAGGCTCCATTCACTGAACACCTACACGATCTGCAGGCCTTGTAACCAGTTACGCCAATCCTCCCAGCCACCTGTAAGGTAGGCATTTACTCCACCTTACAGAGGAGGAAATGAGGCTTGGCCATGTTTGGAAACACTCAGGGCCACCTGGCTGGCGGGTGGAGTCAGGATTGGAATTCTGATCTTTGTGACCCCCTCAAACCTGTGGTCATTCCATTATAGCTTGTGCCTCCCAGGCACCCAGGCACCCAGCCCAGGCCAATCACAGCTCAGAAGAGAATTAATTCTCTACCCTGGGCACTCCAGAGAGGAGCAATTGATATACCCTGCTCCCACCTGACTCCTACGAATGACCACCCCACCCACAGCTGCCCTGTGTGAACCCGTACTTTCTCATTTGTTCCTGACCCCAGTCCCACGAGGCAGGTATTCTTGCCTCCATCTTACACATGAGAAAACAGAGTATCAGCAAGGCTCAATAATTTTCCTAAGGTCACACGGCTCATCAGCATCAGAGCAAGGACCCTGCTATGTGTAGCTTTAAAATTCTCTGTGCTTTTTATTGCTTGATCTCACCCTCCCTGCACCTTGGCACATGCCAGAGCCCAGCCCGGGCTGGGCGGTCTCAGACCTAGAGACCGTTGCCTATTAGCCCTCCAAGGTCCAGCCGGAGGCCAAGCGCCCAGTTCCTCCCCACGGAGCCCCATGAGAACACAACCTACTTCTGTGGGTACATGTTATAAGGAGCCTGGGGACACACGACTGGGGAGGGGGCCTGGTCCATGTAGGTGGCGCTGCTCCCGGCAGAGTCTGCAGATGTCACAAACCTGTGAGAGGAAGCAGAGCAGAGCCTCAGAGGCCTGGGGCAGGGGCTGACTTGGGGAGGGGCTCAGGGGACTTGTCTTTTTTAGGTGTAGAAGGATCAAGTGCCCACTGGGCCTGGGTCTCCAGCTGCAGGAATTGAGCTTCAGGAGTGGAGCTCTGGGCACTGGCCCCATGGTGACCAAACCCAGGTCCTTCCCTAGGGCTGAGCCAGGTTTCAAGGGAAAGGAATGCTGGGCCCTTGAACAGGAGAGGGGTGGTAGTGAAGGGTGAAGATAGTCAGGGGTGGGGGACAGAGGCAGCAGGACACTAGAGCTGGCCCTTGGACACTTACTCAGGGACCACTTGCTTGATCTGTGGCTTCACATATCCATCCACCGCTTTAGCTGTGAAGGGGGGAACGGTGATGAGAACCAAAGTCTCTGGGGACTCGTCAGGGAGTGGAAGCCCACCCCATGCAGTCTGCCTCCTACTCACATCACGGGGAGCTCAGCAGGGATGAGATTTCCCACGGACCCCCAGTGAACACCTGCTGACAGGTCCAGCCTGAGGGCCACCCAGGCCCTGGCTTCAATCTCATCCCTTCTTCCGTTTCCTTTTCTGGTCCTTTGCTTTCTCTCTCCCCACCCCCACCCCAGCCAAGGAAATACAATCGACACCAAGGAACAAACCCAACCAATGGATTGGGGACAGGTTGAAGAGGAAAAACCTGTCCACTTTGCTTCCTACTCTCAACCTGGGAGCCAGATTGAGGGCGGGGAGCGGTGAGAGCAGTGGATGGAGACAGGAGTAGTTCATTATCTGTGGGTTTGAATTATCCAGGCTCCTCCCCCAGCACTGTAGCCTCTTCCTCCAAGGGCACAAAAGTGAGAGTCCACTCAACTTTTCATTTTACAGAGAAGAAAGCAGACTCAGAGATTTCACTTTCCCTCTCCTCAGTTATAAGCCCTGAAATCCTCTCCACATGCTTTGCACCATCCCATGGACCAAAACCCACAGGGGAAAGAAATAGCCCCGGAGCCCTTAGTGGGGAGTTGCCGCTGCCTAGCCCGAGAGCGTGTCCTTGGGCTCAGGAGAGCCCGGGAGGATCAGGGCAGGACGCACCAAGCACCGGAGTGTAGTACTTGGAGAAAACCTCATCCTTGGGCCGGTCAGGAAACACGTAGATGAGATAGCTCAGGTCCCCCAGCCGGTCGGCCAGGGACCGGATGGAGAAATCCCGCGTGGTGAACGGCTTCAGGTTCCACAGGTTGCGGTCAGCTGTGAAAAGGACAAGCTCATTCCCACAGCCCACCGCCGTCAGGAGAAGGATCAGGTTGTGGGGTTTTAGGGCAGGCTCGTGGAGACATCCAGGCTTTTATTAGCCTGCACTGCAACCCTACCCCTGGAGTGCTCCCTGGCATAGGATAAGGAAACGGCCACGGGAACATTCTACGGGGCAAACCAGGCGCGTAGATACCCAATAAGGCTGGGTCAGGGCAGAGAAGAGAGAGCATGAAACTGCTGGAGGACTCGCCCAGCAGTTCTGAAGTCTAGGGGGCCCGTGAATGTAGGTTCTCGGAAATGGAGAACGATAGAAAAGGGAAGGAGTTTCTGAGCACACTCCTTCAATACTCCGCGCAGTCCCACCAGGTGCCCTCTCAGGATGCAGTACTGATGCAGGATGGGCAGCGAGGAAATCGGAGGCCGTGCTGTTGGGACTGGAGTGTGGACAACACAGGGCACTCACGGGAGTCAAACTTCCAGGCGATCGTGATGCCCCCAATTTCTGAGTCGCTAAAGCGCAGTAAGAAGGTCCCGTCGGGCTTGTTGATGAGCAGGTCATGGGCCTGCTGCTTATTCACAAAACCGAGGATGGCCCTGGGTGCACAGAGCACGCAGTGTCACCGCTGGGCCCTGAGCCCACGCCCTCCCGACCCCCTTGCCCACTGTTCCTCACCCATCATTCCAGTGGGGCTTGTGATGCTTCTTCAGCACCTCCATGACCCCATCGAACCACTGCCAGAAGGTGTAGTTCCAGCCCGGCAAGTTCTCCTGAGGACCCCCGCCCCCGGAAATCCCGAGTCAGGGCTTGTGCCCCTGTTGTCACAGGTTGCCCGGGGAAGAGTCAGTGCCCTCGGGTCCTTACCCAAACCCTCTCCTCACTCCTCACCCTACTTGTCCCACACTCTGGCAGTCCATAAACTGACATAGCCGCCAACCCCTATCCTAGGAAACCAGAGACAAGTCGCCTCTGGCCCCTTAGACACGGATCCAAGACAATCCCATAGGGTGGGGGTAGGAGTTATAAAAAGTTTTCCAAGCTGGACGAGACCTCCACATTCATTCCTGCCCAACCCCTTCATCGCACAGATGGGGAAACGTGGCCCAAGACAGGCAGGGGCCTGGGAAATCAGTTAACAGGACTAGGACTAGAACCCAAGGAGCCTGACTCTCAGCTCGGATTCCTTCCGATGGTCCTGCTTTGGCTCGCACAGCTTCCTGCATTCCTTGGGGTACTAGCCCCCTCCCCCTCTCTCCTGCTTGTAAGAGAGGGTGGGGCGCTGACCTTAGGCAGTAACCTGTCTCTGGTGGGGAGGGGTGGCAGGACACAGGTGGTGCCAGGCAGGCAGCTGGCGGCGGGTCCCTCACTCACCCTGTTGAACTGGGACCAGGACACGGACATGCTGTTGTAGTCCTCGAGATGGCTGCTGCTGCTGTTGAACAGTTTCTGCGCCAGGAACACCAGGTTCTCCTTGGTCAGGCCCCGGTTGCTCTGCACTTCGGCCTTGAATTTCATATTGAGCGCCTCACACAGCTGCGGCCACAGCACTTTGTCAGGCACGGCAAACGGCACCCTGCCCTGAGAGGGGGAGAAGCCAGAGCCTCGTGAGAAGACAGTTATGTGATTTATTCCCTCAACCTGCAAAATGAAAACACTGATGGCTGGACGTGGTTACAAACGTTTGACTCACCGAGCCTGAGAATCGATTCTTTCACGGGGTGTGCAGTTCTGGGAAACTCAGAAGGTTCATTTTACCTTCTTCACCCACAACTTACAGGGTAACCTCACGCTATGCTGTTCTGTAAATGAGCTGCCAAACGTATGATCCAATGCTACCTTCTCACAGCCACGAAAACAAAACACAACCAAGGCCTGGCTCTCACATTGTAAATCAATGGGAAGAAAAATCTAAAAAACTGGTTCTCTAGGGGAGCAGGGGAGGGAGAGAGAGATGGAGGGAGAAGGAGGGAGAGGGAGAGAGGAGAGTGAGAGAGAGAGGGAGAGGGAAAGAGGGAGACTGAGAATATATGCTCCTACATGTGTGCACACAAGTGTAACCCTTGCCCTTGACACCAAGAACTCTGGCTCAAAGTGAAACAGCTTAAGGAAGAATGTAACTGCGAGATGAACAACTTTAGTAAGAAACAGGTTAAAATATGAATTTTTAATAAACTGCTTTTCATCCCATTCAGCCATAGTACTTCATTTTAATTGTTATAAATTTTTTTTTTGAATAGGCAATTCCTTCTCATGCTATAAAATGGAAAAGCACAGGAGGTTACAGAGCGAAGTCACTTTCCTATCCCTGTCTTCTAGCAACCCAGTTCCTCTCCCCAAAGGCATGCAATTTAGTTTCTTGCATATACCTCCAAAGATACTCTATGCAGGCCAGCAAATATATATATTTTTTTCCTTTAAAAATTATAAATGGAAGCATAAAATCCACATGTTCTGCATGACGCTTTTTTCACTTACTACTGTATCTGGGAGACTTCATTCACATCAGCACATAAAGAAATTCTTCACTGTCTTTTGTGGCTGCTAAATGTTCTCCAGCATGGAGAAGCAGTAATATTTAACCAGACCTCCACAGATGGACATCTGTGTATCAGCCTTCAATCTTTAGCTATTACAAACAGTGCTGCAATGTACTTACATCATTTGACAAATATGCAAATATATCTGTAAATTCCCACGTGCATTTATTTTAAAACAGCTTAAGATGCACATTACTTGTTAACATACTAAAAATGTTAAACATGCTTATTTACTTAGATGAGATACTTTAGTAAAGGCATGTTGTAGGAGATGCCAGAGTTACCTGGGGAGTGAGATCTGTGGACAGGCAGCGAAGGAAATGAGAGAAGATGCGGCAACACTGCCCGGGGAGCTTATTAGGGGACATGATGTAGGCAGATAGTTTTTAAAATGGGCCTAAAACTCAGGGTTTGCATTACCCAACAGGGAGCACGAGCATGGTAGAATTTCTGATAAAAATCTCACCTTTGCAGCAAAAATATTGTTCTCTAAAGAAAACTATTGAGAAGGTAAGACTCTTCACATTAGGGTCACATTAGAGAACAACGTGCTTTTTAAAAAAAAAAAAGTTTTATTGGGAAACAGTCATGGTCATTGGTACACATTGCTTTCATGCTACAGTGGCATAGTTGACTCTTTTAGGGAGGGCGCAGCTCACAGTGGCCCATGCGGGGATCAAACTGGCAACCTTGGTGTTATCAGCACCACGCTCGAACCAGCTGAGGTAACGGGTCACCCCGAGAACAACATACTTTTATGGCCCAAATAACAACTACAACCCTTTAATCATGCCTTTATGGATTAGTCTCTACAGGAAATTTGCAACACACAGAACTTTGCCTGCTGCAATGTTTTAAAAATGCTCATCAAGCAACACACTAGTGGTGTTAAGATTATATTTGCATAAATCCACAAAATCATACTTGTCCCTTTAGACAAAGCATCTCATTCTTCATGAGAGACCTGGGATGAACTACAGAATCTAAAATTTTGAAAAGACATTAAATGTCGCCTTCGTTTATTGGAAGGAAGATGACATGACGCAACTTCTCAGCTAAAGTAACCTCCGGGGAGGTCTAACCTCTAGAAGGAACCTGGGAGTCCCAAGTTCCATTTATGGCCTCACCCAATGATTCAAAATAATATTTACTGAGGATTGACTATGTGACAAGAATTTTGTATGTTATCTAATTTACTCTTCCTAACAACACAAAGAAACATTATGATCCCCGTGTGGCAGACACTTAGGGGAAACTTAAGCTCAGAGAGGTAAAGTGAATTTCCCACGGTCACATTGTGAGGAAATGGTAGAGCTTGAATCGAAAGCTTGGCCTGACTTCAAGCCCATGCTCTTTCCATTTTCCGCATTCGCTCTATTCTGTCTCCCAGCAAGGAAAACAGCATTTTTCCTGTGCTCTTTTGGGAGATAACACATGAAAGAGATTCATGACACCAGCATCAAGATCCTGAGACCTGCAGGCCCAAGGAATCCACTCACAGGCTCTGCAAAAGCGTTGTCCCAGAGAACAGTAGCCGTAGCATTGTTGTCCTGGCTGCCATGGACAATCACCACCACCGGGAGAGACAGGGTCTGAAAAGACACAGGAGGAGGGCTGAGCACCCACAGGCCACACCCACAAGCCCCACCTTCTTCTCCTTCTTTTTCTTCTATCACAACACTTTCATCTCTCCTCAAGTTTCAGTAAATGTCACCCTTGGATACAGAATGTGAATGGCTCCGGGAATTATACGTCTTTTCCACATTGGCACAATTACAGAAATTTTAGATAAATTAAGAGACTTTACCAAATATTCCTTAAGGGCGCAGTAAATTCTCAAAGTTACATGGAGAACAAGACAGCAAAAAGAGAGTTTGGAGACATATCTGGGTGTGAGAGCAGAAAGCAAGTAACAAATGTCTAAAACTTACTACAACTATTACTCAGGTTCTCCTGATTCATTTTCTACCTACATCTCCAGCTATTTCAGTTTGTTCCTTCGTAAGAGAATCTAAGAGATGCAGTTCTAAGGGTGAGGTCTCTCACTTTCTGTTCATCAATAACCAAAAAGAAGATACTATGAGATCAAAACAATTCTTCGGTGATATAAAGTACACACACTCACACACTCACGCACACAACCGAGGAAGGGCTTTACCTTGACTTGAAAAACCAGCTCATTTCCACCAACACTGAACTGTGATTCAAACAGGATTGTAAATTTTTCTTCTGTCACCGACTCTGCTCCACGACGGTCAGACCTCTTAATTCGTTTCAGGGACTGCGAAGGAGAAAATTAGGACCCAACGCTCTCAAACAACTGGGGAAAACCCATTCTTCCTCTTCCCCACTCCTCACCATGTTTCTGAAGTGGGCGCTGAGGGTGCCAGTGGCTTGGTGATACTCCATCACACAGCAGTTGTTCAAGATCTCTCCGCTGTAATCACTGCAAATGAGAGACGCAACTCTAAATCCATACAGGGTCTCAGCTCACATGGGGTAGGAATATACTTGGGTGGGAGGAAACACAGAAGGCTGTTAAAAATGTATGTCATTTAGAGGAAATGTTAGCGCCATAAAACACACAAGAAATAAATATACATAAAAGACAAAAGTTTCTTGAATGTAAATGAAACCAAATTGTGTTGTCTTCACAGAAGAATGCCTTGTATTCTTTCTCTGAGAGCCAGAAAAGGCCAGAAGGGCTAACAGGGCTCCGGCATAGGAACAGCTGAGCCCAGAGAGCTCTGAGGTGGGTCAATTCTACCCAGCGAGGACTGGAGAAAAGAGGCAGGCATGAGGGTGGGCTCGCGTACTTGCGTGTGTTCTCATTCTTGAGCAGAGACTTGGCCTGCTGCTCACTGATGATGGTGGCCTTCACCTGAGGGGGGTTCATGTGCACGTTCAGCTTCCCACCCACCAGCAGGCGCACGGTGGCTGCAAACTTGGTCTGCGTCTTCAGGACCTGAGGGGGCTGCTTCTCAATGATGAATGTGCTGCGGGGACACAAGTGACCAGATGCTGCCTCAGGGCACAGGGCTCTGGTCCCTCTGTGAGGGGAGGCTGCCTCCCATGGGGCTCAAGGGCAAAGGAAGAGCATCTGGCAGGGAGCCTGTTCCAGGGAGACCACTGAGAGTCAGGTGAATGGCAGGAGGGGAAGACAGTGAAATGAACTCAGCAGCTGGCACGGGCTGCAGGGGACAAGGGCAGCCCATGTGGAGTCCACAAGAGAAACAGGGCAAGGTCAACACCAGGCAGCCATAGCAGCTGGGGACAGGGGGGATGGCGGGAGGGAGTGAGGCAGAGAGAAACAAGGTTCAAGCGGAAGCACACCCCGCCTCCCCCATGACAACCACATGGGGGAATGGGCGTGGCCAAGAGGCAGCAATCACCTGGTCACCAAGGCTGAGATGATGTCTGTGATGGTGGCGTTGACCTCAGCCAGCATCTCCTCCACTGGGCCGTGGATGGGCAGCTGCTGGCAGAGGTGCTCAGCTCTGCGGATCTGCTGCCGGTTCTGCCAGATGATCTCGGCCAGCTTCTCACACCTGCGCACGAGCCCCAAGACCAACAGGAAGGACAATGGCTTCACTCCATCCTCGAGACCAGAGCTGGGGAGGCTCCCAGTCTCGGGTGAGCCCCCCGAGACCCAGCTCCACCCTCACCCAGGAAGCCCTCGTCAAGAAGGCTTTACTCCTTAGCCACGACTCCTGTCCCCAGAGCACAGCAGAGCTGCCCTGCCCTCCAGAAACTCAAAGCATCACACAGGAGGGGCGACCCTGATTCAGACCCGACCAGCCCGAGCATCCCTCTGCACCCCCACGCCCTGCGCCCCAACACAGTGACTCCCTTCCCGGGGACAGGAGGCATGACTGGGGGCCTCAAAGTCTGTCTCAGGAACCAGAACCACTGGTAAAATAAGACCCATCACCAGACAGAGCGAGCGGGCTGCCCATGGACACGGACACACACACACACACACACACACACACACACACACACACACACACACACACACACACACACACGAGCGGAAGCAGC